AAAAATTTTTAAGAAGATATATTCAGTTTAACATAGTGCGTACCTGCAAAAGCAAAGAACATGCCAGCTGGTCTCAGCAGATAGTCTCTGCCCTTCCCAAAAGCCCCCAGGAGGCAGAGACTGCCCAGGGTCATGAAGGCCAAACTGAAGATTGCAATGGCAGCAGCTGAGATGTTGTACTCTTGATGGAAGAAAATCACACAGAGAGTCTGAGAGCGGATCAAAGCAAGACCAGGTCTTCCCGAGATCTTATGGCAACATTATTATTAAATTGTTCTTTTAAAACATGTCTTCAATTATGCCTACAGCTGTCACAGAGAATCCTACTTATATTACCACATCTAAACCTAATTAAATATGTAATATAATCATATACAGTATGTAGTAAATTTGTGCTATGCTCTGTGCTATGCAGGCTAATCTGCTAGCATGCTAAAGGGAACAAAAAGAAAGAATGTCGAATTTGACGATTTGTAGCTTTGTGTGTATTCTGATGTGTGAGAGATAGTTAAAGGTGAATAAGATTGGATTCCTAATGAGCCCCCAAATGAGAATCCAAGCTAACTAAACTGTATGTTTTTCATAGGTTTACATTTATTTGTCCAATTTCATTCGTTGTGATCAATGTTTTTATTGCAGCTGCTGCTTCACCAAAAGAGCTTGCATTCGCCAAACAACTCTGCAGGCACTTTCCACAAGCAGATCATTCAAGGATAACTTCATCTACTCTGCTAATTCAGATGATCTGGCTAATGAGTCTGACCTCTAGACTAATGTTGCGTTTAACGTGTCATTATTTAGTAATACAGACAGATCAATAGCGTGAACGAGTATTGACATTTTAGGATGCGGCTCAGGAAATGCGTGGCGATGAAGCATTTGTGCTTTGCTTCAAGTCTCACTGCATTCAGCATTTTATCAGACTCGGATAAGGCTTTATTCCACTTTAACTCAATGACCGAGCTAGAGCGCGAAATATGGAAGATGCGCTCTGCTCAAGTAGGCAGAAAATGTAATGCCAATGGCCATATTTGGTTGCTAGATTGCACTGCCTGAGATCAGTGGACATTTTGTCTAACTGAGAGCGAAAAAAGTTTCATTCTTAAGAAGAGTGAGGTATTTATATAGCATAACTTTTAAAAAATAATAACAGATATGTTGTATCATTATATCTTGGGAGCAATACTTGCATATGCAAAACTCATTGCCACGACATAGTGTGTTGCTATGTATTACTAAGTTATTCAGTGGGTCACTCCTTCGTTGCAAGTTAACAGGATTGTTTTAACATTTATCGCGCAAAAAAGTCAAAGTAAAATTGCTTGGAAAGCAGAATCATTCGTGTCTGTTGTGTAAACAGTGCTGGATGGGCAATGCTGGGTAGTGACAGATTACATGTAATCTGGATAACGTAACTAGATACCAAAAAAATAGGTATTTGTAATTAGATTATATTACATTTTAAAATACTTGTAATCCTGCTACAGTTACTTTTTATTGATTTTTGATACTTGGTCTTTGATTTTTCGAGTTTTGGTTAATGGTCACATGGCATGCAGGTAATTATTAGCTTTTCATTAAATTCACAAACCCCCTGCAGTTCCTTCACAAACCCCAGTTTGGGAAAC